CTGAAGGAGCCCTGTTATGGACTAATTTGGCCTGGTCTCCATTAGACCTTTAGTCATTAGGACTGAGTGTTCTATTACAGTTGACCCCATCACCTAGGAAATGGGACTCCACCTGTCATTACGGAGGCAGCAGACACCCTGTCACTAACGCTCTTATTCCAATTACTGGCTCTTGTCTCACTTGTTATACTGAACCAAGTCATCAATATGATGGTGAAAATGTCAGCCAAACAATCTACTCTTGAAAACATTTGATCATGTATCTGTAAAAAGAAATTAAATTCATTTGTATTGTAATTACAAATGAAATTATTTTAGGGTCACCAAAGCTCTTGTCTAACATTCAAATCTTTTCATTGAAAAAGAGGCTTTGGTGCAGCTGACTGTCTTGTGTACATGTATCAGCTATGGTCATTGTAATCAATAACTGGACAACAAACCCAAGCAGAGGGCTGAATCTTAATGAAAACATTCTTCTAGCTGTTAATACTACTGGGAGAGGGATGGTCGCATGTAGCTCATGCTCCCGACTCATTTGTTTGACATATACAGTGTAAGCAAATGGTTGCATGAGGTGCAATATGTACCCCAATTACAATGTAGCTTCTGAAGAGAAATAAAATGAGTGGCAAATCTCTGGAATGATGATAATGACCTTGACCTTTTTTCTTAATTTCCTGACAGCTCCATATCTAGACATTCAAGTTCTAGAAATATGGGAAATATTAACCTTCAGTTATAGGCACTGCCAATAGGCAACGGAACTTAAATTCTTACTGCCTCAGCTAAATCAACCTGTCTTATATATAAGCTTGCAGATTGTTTAGGTCGGCCCTTGGAATGAAGGGAGACATATTGTATGTATAAGTACTGGTTCCTGTAGTTCTGGTTCTAGTTCTTCTAATATTATCTTGTCCGGGCCGTAACTTTTAAACCGTTAAAGAAATTTTGATGAAACCTGATGTGTACCTGCATAACTCATAGACGCTGTGTAGTGCACTGTCATTAGGTCACTGTGACCTTGACCCCAAGGTCAAAGGTCGAATATGGTTTTTTTTCAGGAACATCTTGTCTGGGCTGTAATTTTTAAACCATTAAAGATATCTTGATGAAACTTGCAGTATACCTGCATCCCATACAGATGATGTGCAGTGCAGTGACATAAGGTCACTGTGGCCTTTACGTCAAGGTCAAAGTTTTAAAAGTCTGATTTATTCAAACATGTAAAGGTGTATGCCAAGGTGATGCCAATGGTCCCTCACTGTGTCTAAATTTGCTTAAACTTAGTATGCTAGTATATGATGGCATTGTTAACTCCATCCAATGATCATTTGCGATTATGGGGTCTGAGTTTTGAGGACGTTTGTAATGGTTCCCATTACAATTAGAACTTGTTCATAAATGCATTTTATAATTTAGCTGTAGGCAGTACCTCTAATAATAAGGTCAAATAAGTTATAGATATCCTGACATAATTTGCAGTATGTCTGCATCATTCACAGATCATGTAGAGTTCACTGCCGTTAGGTCAATGTGACCTTGACCTAGAGGTCAAAGGTCATATAAGTGCAAAGTGTTCAGGAATATTTTGTCCAGGCCATAACTTTTAAACTGTTAAAGGGGAGACATATTTTTGTTCACCGAAACAAATATCTAGTTTAACATAGATTTTTCTGAAGGAAAGCGATACTGAAGAGAAAAAAGAATGTCTTGCTTTAGAGTCTTCCCTTCATCCTGTAGTGCTTTCAATGGAAAAACTGAAGTTAATGCATAATTTCTTATAAATGTTCATGAAGCTTCAGCTTGGGTTTGCATGACAACCAAAATGTTAAATGAACAGATGATGAATGACTGTCAGATTAGAAGCGCAGAGACAACACAGCAAATCTCATTTATCTTACTAGAAGAAGAGTTTGGGAATTGAAAACATCAAATTAAGACGGAAATATTTGTTTTATAATCAATTGTTGAAACAATAAAAGTAAAATGAATAATGCACAAAAATTGATTGCTGTAGTGTGTAGCAATGTTGTGTATGTACTGTAGCCTACCAGAGTTTTCACTGATCAAGTCTGTTTCCACTGGGTGATCATGCAACTGAAAAATAATAAAGCTATTGATTTCTGGCCAAGACAAAACATTAACTTGTCAAGTAAAATTACAGAATTACTCCGGTGGATCCTCAGCTTCCCAGATATAGGACGATGATACAGATCACTTATAGTTTGTACGCATGAAATCATGTGATTACAACAGCAGTATTCAAAAGTGGTCAATAATAATTAAGTTGATTTTGTTTTATTACTTATACTGCTCTGAGTATTGGCTGATCAATTTTATAAATGATTATAGGACTAATTTGATAATCCCGGTGTAGATAGCGGTAGAAGGAGATGGTATTCGCTGTGGAGGGATCCTCACATTCCCTGTACAAGGCATGCTGTAGATAGTTATGGCTCCCCAGGGATTTGTGGCCATATCACTTTGATGGATTGTTCATTAAATATTCATGCTCGCCAACACCGACATGCCACAGAGGAATTTATTATTGTGCTGCTTTTTCAGGTTCTATTGTTATTTGCTACCTTCTGACTTCTCCACCGAGACTGCCGTAGAACATTGATGTAGATATATATTCTTGAGCTGTTACTGCGTGCTGTGGGGCTGTCATCTTGTCTGGTAGCCGTTCAAGTGAATGTTCCATTCCTGGCAGAACCACTCCGTTGGAACGTTATTTCCCACTGGTTGTAAATGGGAAAGCAACCATGACCACAAATGATTTATTCAGCAGCAGTTTTGTCTCCTTATGAAGATCTATGTTGTTGCCGACACTTGAGAATTGTTACCAGGAGTTTTATTACCATATATATACATTATACACAATTGTTTAATGACCGACTCTACACTTCGGAATTCAAAAATCATAAATACACCTGGATATGTGACAGGTAAATGATATGCTGTAACACAAATATGTTTGGTTTGTGCATGTACTGGAAAATGGCTAAAACAGATAAAATGCACTGAAATACAATAGTCATATTTTTTGTGATGTAATATTTTGTATAAAGAATTTGCATGATTGAACAATTTGAAATGACAAATATTTAATGTAGATTTTTCATGTTAGAAATTTGGAAAAATAAATTGTTTATATTTAGATATTCAGTAAATAAATGAGGTTAGAATTGAAAGGATGAACAAGATTAAAATCAGTTAAAGTTAAAAAAAAAAAGAAAGATAATAGAAGAATAGTAAAGTCACGATGCATGTATCAATTCTAGGCAATGACCAATAATCTGTTCCTCCATGTCGATCCTGTCTATGTTTTTAGGAACATATATTCCATTTTGTATTAAAAGATGTTTCTGTCAACCATCTGATTTATATAGTACCGTGGTGATTTTTGTTGGGATTGAAGATGTTTTTCTTTAAACATCTAACTTTGATAGTGTATTGCCAATAGTGGAAATAACTACGTATATATATCAATAACTTATATATCAAGATGAAAATGTCACAAATGTAGTGACCAGTGAAAGATCATATTTAATTTTTAATTTTAGGAACAATTTTTTTTATAGGTATTAGGTATAATCACGGAATTATCAAAGTCCGTGGTATAATTAAAATGTTAAGCTTTTTTATTCAGCAAATTTCACCTTCACTAAATCATAAGGCTGTACAATTCCCTGGGAAAACAACATTTTACTGGGTTGCACCAGGTGACTTATTTTCTACAAATGCAATGATATATAATTTCTTTGATTTTGTAATTTCCTATCAATTACGGATCTATTAACAGCAGTAATTTCAAACTGCATTCTTGTGAAATATCAATATCAATGGTGTAATGATATGTGAAACCTGTTGTATTCAGGAGCCTCCGTATAATTGGTGTGATACGGTTTGAGGCTCGAATTGTTACGATACGGTTTTGGAACATTGTCAGGTGTTTCATCAGTCCCCTACCACCTCGTAAATCGTGTATCGATCCACCCCCACACCGACTGAACCCAAGGCTGCCGGACACAGTCACTTTGTTCCACCAGTGTGTCACATGATCTGTGTCACATGATCAATATTATGGGTTTAATATCACCCCAATACTGGCACATTTAAAAGTTCACTTGGATATAAACATGTGTTCTGAAATGTATAATTAAGTAATTACAAAATCCAATTATCTGTAGAAATGGATGACAGTTTCGCTGTAGCATTGTAATTAAAGGGTTACCATGACCTTGATCAATTGTGTTTGTTGACTGAGGTTTCCACTACATTTCTGTTGAGTTGAATTAACCAGGACAGTAATTACTGGGTATGAAGATCTTTACTATAAAATAACAAACCTGCCATGATGAGACATCTTATTATATTACAGTGAAAGTAAGCAAAATGGTATTATCCACAGATATATTATTGAACAACTCTCTATTACAAAATAAATGTCATTCACTTAGCATGGAAAAGAAAGCTAACAATCTTGTGTTGGCTGTCAATAATTTGACACAAAGCATATTTGCTTTTTAAATCAGAGATGCGAATGCCATATGATAATCATGGTGTCCATCTGTATGTCCGTCCATCTACACTCTCATTTCCAGAAATTATGGCAGGATTCTGAAGTCCTAAATTCCTTAAATTTTACATGGTGATATACATTAATATATTGGTGTGTTAATATAAAGGGACTAAAAACATCCTAAGATCAAGGTCAATGTCACTCTTGCGAAGAATAGAATGGTGGTGTATACAGTTAGAAAATACATTTTCTGACATTTTCTGACCCTTCAGCATTGATATTGTTGGTAAATGGTCTTTGGTGGATATCCTAAATGATTAACGCTGTATAACCCAGATTCCAAAACTCAAGATGGCCATAATTGTCAAGGTCAAGGTCACTGACAATAAAGCAGCAGTGGTATACTGTCAAAACTACATTTTACACTCCTCATATCATCATATGAATCTTACATTTATGTTTTTCTGTCTTTCAGATCTACCAGTGATGATGCTGGAAGGGGAGCTAACTCGGCCTATTTTATCTGAAGAAAATGAAGACATTTGATCATTATAGACTACAATATCATATAAAATGCCATGGCAAAAGTTATCTTGTGTACATTCAAAAAAGGATCCATTAAACATGCATCTATGAATGATTTATTGAAACATCAATATCAGATCAGTCCTACCCTGTGTTGTGCGACTGTGACAGTCCTCAGACCAGTTTTTATGCTGTAAATTGTTGAAATTGTTAAAAACGACAAGACCATGTAATCTCTTATCAGAGGAAATAAAGAATGTCTGTCTGTCTGGTGTGTGCGAGACCAAGTGCCATGTGTTGTAGGCCATATGCACACAAAAGACCAACGTCATGTGTTGTGTGTTAGGTATGTATATATGAAGGTTTACAGATACATAAACATAAATGTTGTTGTGTGTTGTGAGCACTGTAAGCACTGTGTTATTGATTGTGTGTTGTGGAAGTCTCAAGATAAACTCTTTGCTGTGTGTTGTGGGAGTCTCCAGATCAACTCAGTGCTGTATGTTGTGGGAGTCTCCAGATCAACTCAGTGCTGTGTGTTGTGGGGGTCTCCAGATCAACTCAGTGCTGTGTGTTGTGGGAGTCTCCAGATAAACTCAGTCTGTGTTTTGTGGGAGTCTCCAGATCAACTCAGTCTGTGTTTTGTGGGAGTCTCAAGATCAACTCAGTGCTGTGTGTTGTGGGAGTATAAAGATAAAGTCAGTATTGTGTGTTTTAGGAGTCTCAAGGTAAACTCAGTGCTGTGTGTTGTGAGAGTATAAAGATAAACTCAGTGCTGTGTGTTGTGGGAGTATAAAGATAAAGTCAGTATTGTATGTTTTAGGAGTCTCAAGATAAACGCAGTGCTGTGTGTTGTGAGAGTATAAAGATAAACTCAGATAAAGTCAGTATTGTGTGTTTTAGGAGTGGCAAGATAAACTCAGTGCTGTGGGTTATGAGAGTATAAAGATAAACTCAGTGATGTGTGTTGTGTGAGTATAAAGATAAACTCGGTGCTGTATGTTGTTAGACTATAAAAATAAACTCAGTGCTGTGTGTTGTGATTATAAAGATAAAGTCAGTATTGTATGTTTTAGGAGTCTCAAGATAAACGCAGTGCTGTGTGTTGTGAGAGTATACAGATAATCTCAGTATTGTGTGTTTTAGGAGTGGCAAGATAAACTCAGTGCTGTGGGTTATGAGAGTATAAAGATAAACTCAGTATTGTGTGTTTTAGGAGTCTCAAGGTAAACTCAGTGCTGTGCGTTGTGAGAGTATAAAGATAAAGTCAGTATTGTATGTTTGAGGAGTCTCAAGATAAACGCAGTGCTGTGTGTTGTGAGAGCATATAGATAAACTCAGTGATGTGTGTTGTGTGAGTATAAAGATAACCTCAGTGCTGTGTGTTGTGAGTATAAAGATAAGGTCAGTATTGTGTGTTTTAGGAGTCACAAGATAAACTCAGTGCTGTGGGTTATGAGAGTATAAAGATAAACTCAGATAAAGTCAGTATTGTGTGTTTTAGGAGTGTCAAGATAAACTCAGTGCTGTGTGTTGTGAGTATAAAGATAAAGCCAGTATTGTGTGTTTTAGGAGTGGCAAGATAAACTCAGTGCTGTGGGTTATGAGAGTATAAAGATAAACTCGGTGCTGTATGTTGTAAGACTATAAAAATAAACTCAGTGCTGTGAGTTGTGAGTATAAAGATAAAGTTAGTGCTGTGTGTTGTGTGAGTATAAAGATAAACTCGGTGCTGTATGTTGTTAGACTATAAAAATAAACTCAGTGCTGTGAGTTTTGAGAGTATACAGATAAACTCAATATTGTGTGTTTTAGGAGTCTCAAGATAAACGCAGTGCTGTGTGTTGTGAGAGAATATAGATAAACTCAGTGATGTGTGTTGGGAGAGTATAAAGATAAAGTCAGTATTGTATGTTTTAGGAGTCTCAAGATAAACGCAGTGCTGTGTGTTGTGAGAGCATATAGATAAACTCAGTGATGTGTGGTGTGAGAGTATGTTGTGGGAGTCTCCAGATCAACTCAGTGCTGTGTGTTGTGGGAGTATAAAGATAAAGTCAGTATTGTATGTTTTAGGAGTCTCAAGATAACCCCAGTGCTGTGTGTTGTGAGAGTATACAGATAATCTCAGTATTGTGTGTTTTAGGAGTGTCAAGATAAACTCAGTGCTGTATGTTGTGAGATTATAAAGATAAACTCAGTGCTGTTTGTTGTGAGAGTATTATAAAGATAAACTCAGTGCTTTGTGTTGTGGGAGTATAAAGATAAAGTCAGTATTGTGAGTTTTAGGAGTCATAAGATAAACTCAGTGCTGTATGTTGTGAGACTATAAAAATAAACTCAGTGCTGTGAGTTGTGAGAGTATACAGAGAAACTCAGTATTGTGTGTTTTAGGAGTGTCAAGATAAACTCAGTGCTGTCTGTTGTGAGAGTATAAAGATAAACTCAGATAAAGTCAGTATTGTGTGTTTTAGGAGTGTCAAGATAAACTCAGTGCTGTATGTTGTGGTAGTCTCCAGATCAACTCAGTGCTGTATGTTGTGAGTATAAAGATAAAGCCAGTATTGTGTGTTTTAGGAGTGGCAAGATAAACTCAGTGCTGTGGGTTATGAGAGTATAAAGATAAACTCGGTGCTGTATGTTGTAAGACTATAAAAATAAACTCAGTGCTGTGAGTTGTGAGTATAAAGATAAAGCCAGTATTGTGTGTTTTAGGAGTGGCAAGATAAACTCAGTGCTGTGTGTTGTGTGAGTATAAAGATAACCTCAGTGCTGTGTGTTGTGAGAGAATATAGATAAACTCAGTGATGTGTGGTGTGAGAGTATGTTGTGGGAGTCTCCAGATCAACTCAGTGCTGTGTGTTGTGAGTATAAAGATAAGGTCAGTATTGTGTGTTTTAGGAGTCATAAGATAAACTCGGTGCTGTATGTTGTGAGACTATAAAAATAAACTCAGTGCTGTGTGTTGTGAGTATAAAGATAAAGTCAGTATTGTGTGTTTTAGGAGTCTCAAGGTAAACTCAGTGCTGTGTGTTGTGAGAGTATAAAGATAAACTCAGTGCTGTGTGTTGTGAGAGTATAAAGATAAAGTCAGTATTGTGTGTTTTAGGAGTCTCAAGATAAACTCAGTGCTGTGTGTTGTGAGAGTATAAAGACAAGAGGCCCATAGGCCTGAACGGTCACCTGATATATTTATACAGAGAGTTGATTTTGTTTTTAACATGAACAGAAATATTATTCAAAGTGACAAAAAACAATAAAACCACCTTATTCAATATCTAGCATACAGATTTAAGACTAAAAAGTATTTGAAACTAGCACCTCTGATTCTAAACAAGGAAAATGAAGAAATTTTAGCACA